GACCCAGCGAAATAGGTCCATCGGAACGTCTCGGAATCAACAAACCTTCTCAGGGCCAGTCTTCAGGTGGAAAAGCAACTACTATCGACCCTCTTTCTAGGAAAAAATCAAATTCTCCCACTAGCTGATCGATTTCGAAAAAATCGGCTACAGGATACGTTACCTTACGTATGGACATAGCGAAATAGTCCATCGGAACGTCTCGGAATCTAACAAACCTTCTCAAAGGCCAGTCTTCAGGTGCAAAAGCAACTACTATCGACCCTCTTTCTAGGAAAAAATCAAATTCTCCACTAGCTGATCGATTTCGAGAAATCGGCTACATGATACGTTACCTTACGTATGGACATATGAAATAGGTCCATCGGAACGTCTCGGAATCTAACAAACCTTCTCAAGGCCAGTCTTCAGGTGGAAAAGCAACTACTATCGACCCTCTTTCTAGGAAAAAATCAAATTCTCCACTAGCTGATCGATTTCGAAAAATCGGCTACATGATACGTTACCTTACGTATGGACATAGCGAAATAGGTCCATCGGAACGTCTCGGAACCTAACAAGCCTTCTCAAGGCCAATCTTCAGGTGCAAAAGCAACTACTATCGACCCTCTTTCTAGGAAAAAATCAAATTCTCCACTAGCTGATCGATTTCGAGAAATCGGCTACATGATACGTTACCTTACGTATGGACGTACTGCGAAATAGGTCCATCGGAACGTCTCGGAATCTAACAAGCCTTCTCAAGGCCAGTCTTCATGTGGAAAGCAACTACTATCGACCCTCTTTCTAGGAAAAAATCAAATTCTCCACTAGCTGATCGATTTCGAGAAATCGGCTACATGATACGTTACGTTACGTATGGACGTATTGCGAAATAGGTCCATCGAAACGTCTCGGAATCTAACAAGCCTTCTCAAGGCCAGTCTTCATGTGTAAATGCAACTACCATCGACCCTCTTTCTAGGAAAAAATCAAATTCTCCACTAGCTGATTGATTTCGAGAAATCCGCTACATGATACGTTACCTTACGTATGGACGTACTGCGAAATAGGTCCATCGGAACGTCTCGGAATCTAACAAGCCTTCTCAAGGCCAGTCTTCATGTGGAAAAGCAACTACTATCGACCCTCTTTCTAGGAAAAAATCAAATTCTCCACTAGCTGATCGATTTCGAGAGATCGGCTACATGATACGTTACGATACGTATGGACGCATTGCGAGATAGGTCCATCGGAACGTCTCTGAATCTAACAAGCCTTCTCAAGGCCAGTCTTCATGTGGAAAAGCAACTACTATCGACCCTCTCTCTAGGAAAAAATCAAATTCTCCACTAGCTGTTCGATTTCGAGAGATCGGCTACATGACACGTTACGTTACGTATGGACGTATTGCGAAATAGGTCCATCGAAAACGTCTCGGAATCTAACAAGCCTTCTCAAGGCCAGTCTTCATGTGGAAAGGGCAACTACTATCGACCCTCTCTCTAGGAAAAAATCAAATTCTCCACTAGCTGTTCGATTTCGAGAGATCGGCTACATGATACGTTACGTTACGTATGGACGTATTGCGAAATAGGTCCATCGAAACGTCTCGGGAATCTAACAAACCTTCTCAAGGCCAGTCTTCATGTGGAAAAGCAACTACTATCGACCCTCTTTCTAGGAAAAAATCAAATTCTCCACTAGCTGATCGATTTCGAGAAATCGGCTACATGATACGTTACCTTACGTATGGACGTAGCGAAATAGGTCCATCGGAACGTCTCGGAATCTAACAAGCCTTCTCAAGGCCAGTCTTCAGGTGCAAAAGCAACTACTATCGACCCTCTTTCTAGGAAAAAATCAAATTCTCCACTAGCTGATCGATTTCGAGAAATCGGCTACATGATACGTTACCTTACGTATGGACATAGCGAAATAGGTCCATCGGAACGTCTCGGAATCTAACAAACCTTCTCAAGGCCAGTCTTCAGGTGGAAAAGCAACTACTATCGACCCTCTTTCTAGGAAAAAATCAAATTCTCCACTAGCTGATCGATTTCCGAAAAATCGGCTACATGATACGTTACCTTACGTATGGACGTAGCGAAATAGGTCCATCGGAACGTCTCGGAACCTAACAAGCCTTCTCAAGGCCAATCTTCAGGTGCAAAAGCAACTACTATCGACCCTCTTTCTAGGAAAAAATCAAATTCTCCACTAGCTGATCGATTTCGAGAAATCGGCTACATGATACGTTACCTTACGTATGGACGTACTGCGAAATAGGTCCATCGGAACGTCTCGGAATCTAACAAGCCTTCTCAAGGCCAGTCTTCATGTGTAAATGCAACTACCATCGACCCTCTTTCTAGGAAAAAATCAAATTCTCCACTAGCTGATTGATTTCGAGAAATCCGCTACATGATACGTTACCTTACGTATGGACGTACTGCGAAATAGGTCCATCGGAACGTCTCGGAATCTAACAAGCCTTCTCAAGGCCAGTCTTCATGTGCAAAAGCAACTACTATCGACCCTCTTTCTAGGAAAAAATCAAATTCTCCACTAGCTGATCGATTTCGAGAGATCGGCTACATGATACGTTACGATACGTATGGACGCATTGCGAGATAGGTCCATCGGAACGTCTCGGAATCTAACAAGCCTTCTCAAGGCCAGTCTTCATGTGGAAAGGCAACTACTATCGACCCTCTCTCTAGGAAAAAATCAAATTCTCCACTAGCTGATCGATTTCGAGAAATCGGCTACATGATACGTTACCTTACGTATGGACATAGCGAAATAGGTCCATCGGAACGTCTCGGAATCTAACAAACCTTCTCAAGGCCAGTCTTCAGGTGGAAAAGCAACTACTATCGACCCTCTTTCTAGGAAAAAATCAAATTCTCCACTAGCTGATCGATTTCGAGAAATCGGCTACATGATACGTTACCTTACGTATGGACGTAGCGAAATAGGTCCATCGGAACGTCTCGGAACCTAACAAGCCTTCTCAAGGCCAGTCTTCAGGTGCAAAAGCAACTACTATCGACCCTCTTTCTAGGAAAAAATCAAATTCTCCACTAGCTGATTGATTTCGAGAAATCGGCTACATGATACTTTACCTTACGAATGGACATAGCGAAATAGGTCCATCGGAACGTCTCGGAATCTATCAGGTTGGAAAGAAAGTAATGGCACAAAATCTTTAAACCGCTGTAAAAACCCGCAGGAACGTCCGATTTGAAAGTTTGATATATGGTTTGGTAGATCTTCGGATGCTCTATCACGTGGCGACCCTCAAAACGCAAAAAAACGGACGGACGCGAAGATACAGGCCTCAGAAGTTTCGCAAAAAATTAGGTGAAAGCTTCCTCGCGAGATATCTCTGCATACAGGCATTTGCATACGATACTTTTAACACCAATCGATAGCTCTTGAGGAGTAGATATCGATAGATGTTGAGATCATCAAAATCGGACATTGGATGGCCGAGATATGGGCCTTCCAAATACAATGCATTTTCCGGATATTGGTTCGTGAGCCAAAGCAAACGCAGCAGTTTTTGGCTCGCGCAGGCCTAAATGTATGGGATTTCGAGAAAAGTTCTAAGAAGTGGACCAAATTTCTAGGGGGCATATCTCGGCCATCCAATGTCCGATTTTGATGATCTCAACATTTATCGATATCTACTCCTCGAGAGCTATCGATTGGTGTTAAAAGTATCGTATGCAAATGCTTGTATGCAAAGATATCTCGCTTGGAAGCTTTCACCGAATTTTCTGCGAAACTTCTGGGGCCTTTATTTTCGCATACATTAGTTTTTGGGTGTTTTGAAGGTTGTCTCGTGATAGAGCATCCAAAGATCTACTAAACCATATAACAAACTTTCGAATCGGACGTTCCTGCGGGTTTTTACAGCGGTTTAAAGATTTTGTGCCATTACTTTCGTTCCAACCTGATAACAAACCTTCTCAAGGCCAGTCTTCAGGTGCAAAAACAACTACTATCGACCCTCTTTCTAGGAAAAAATCAAATTCTCCACTAGCTGATCGATTTCGAGAAATCGGCTACATGATACTTTACCTTACGTATGGACATAGCGAAATAGGTCCATCGGAACGTCTCGGAACCTAACAAGCCTTCTCAAGGCCAGTCTTCAGGTGCAAAAGCAACTACTATCGACCCTCTTTCTAGGAAAAAATCAAATTCTCCACTAGCTGATCGATTTCGAGAAATCGGCTACATGATACGTTACCTTACGTATGGACGTAGCGAAATAGGTCCATCGGAACGTCTCGGAATCTAACAAGCCTTCTCAAGGCCAGTCTTCATGTGGAAAAGCAACTACTATCGACCCTCTCTCTAGGAAAAAATCAAATTCTCCACTAGCTGATCGATTTCGAGAAATCGGGCAGTCCGTTTGGATGTTCCGCACCTACAGCCTCAGGGAAGCATTTTTTTGGGGCGGGAAGAAACGTCATTAGGTAAAGAAGGGCCCGGAATCGACTGCACACACATAAAATCTTCGAAAAAAGGTTAGTTTGGCTATTAAAATTAGGTTTTTGTAAAATCTTGGTCTCCCTCTTTGTTGGGGAAAAATTAGCATACGCCGGAAGTGGAAATGGCTTATAAAAAGGAAGGGAGGGCGTGGTTTTTATTTTTGGTGATCGTTCTTCGGAAAGAATTATGCAAAGTCGCTACTTTCAGACGGGACCAGGGTTGAAAAGCCGCAAAGCGGTTTTTCAACCCTGGTGGTTAGCTATAAAATGCCGTGCGAGATAAAAACTCGGTTTGAAAATTGATGCATGAATGCATGGATGGCTTTCGAATGCTATAACTATCGTTCTAATCCGATTCTTCTCGTCGAGTAAAAAAAGCGTTTTTTTTAGTGGGAGAACCTGTAGAAGCAGCTATTGACGAAGCGGCTCAGTCCCGTTAATATGGTCCGTTTTGAGATATAGAGAGTGATTTATGCAGTAGACAACACAAAGAATCGTTGTTTTAAAGGCGAGTTACTTTCGGCGCTTGATCAGGTCCTCGCGAAATCCGCGAGCTTCGCAACGCAAGACTCGATGGAAGCTGCAGGCATCTAAGCAAAATGATTTTAACCATATACTTATGCAACACCAACCGTCGGGCCCACAATTGAGGAGGCAAACGACGCGTTCGCCTGTTTCTTGGTCTTTTTGGAGGTTGTTCAGCGCGTCGCTGGAATCGGCATAATATCGGGCAAAAGATATCTTTGGGAAACATCGCCGTTAACTCGAAGGAGAATCTCCGGATCGTGGTGCGAGTCGAGTTTTAATTATATTACCTTCATAGTTCTATTTTTAACTACACGCGAGTTTTAAACACAATTTTACAGAATTTCATAGAGCTGTGTTCCGAACGGCATTTAAAAAGCGGGAGCCTGTGAAAGCGTTATTCAGAAAAAAAACGTTATTATGATAAACGGTACATTGAGAGGTGGCATTATAGAAAATCTAAAAATGTCCGGGTTTTGAGGCGACCGAGCAGCAAACGGTCAAACTGTAGGCTGAAACATAAGCGGGCTAGAAATCGATTTTTTTGTAATGCAAAAATGTAATTAAAGAAGATATACAGGGTGTCCCAAAGCCCCCCCCCCCAAAAAAAAATTTGAGCCAGAGGGCACCTACGGAGCTGAAAATTTGCACAGGGGTAGCGAAGCCAATTTCCCATGTTTAAGGTTAGTTTCAGCCCGATCCTCCGGCGGGTTTTAAAGTTATAGCGAAAATACTTTTCTTTTTTTAATTAATATGGGGATCATTGCAATTTGCATCAAAAAATATGCGTTATTCTTGCATTTACGAGCCGATTTTGCATAAAGTTTGCTTAAAAAATGCCATTTTCGTATTGGACCTTGGTGAGAACGATCGCGTATGAAGAGCAAAAAGAGTGTAAAAACAACTGTTTTATCAATCTAAAACACGCCTTATTGTGCATTTTGGTGACCTGCTTCGTGCAAGCCCCGAAACTGAGTACGACAAGCTTCTAAGTGGTGCTTCAGTTTAGATTTGGGCTTGGGTTGAAGAGTAAGCCGAAGTCTAAGCGAAGTTCAAGCGCTGAACGATAGTTTCAGCCAAGGCATCTTGTCCTCAGCGGCCTTGCTGCTCATGTTCACGTTGCATGAGCAATCGTTTTCCAAAAGCCCCCAGCAAGAAAATGGCGTTTTTTGGCAAAAATTATGCAAAATCGGCTCGTAAATGCAAGAATAACGCATATTTTTTTAAGCAAATTGCATAGATCCCGATGTTAAATTAAAAATGAAAAGTATTTTCGCTATAACTTTAAAAACCGCCGGACGATCGGGCTGAAACATTCCATAAACGCTACCGCTGTGCAACTTTTCAGCTCCGTAGGTGCCCTCTGGCTCAACACATCTGTGTGTGCCTGTGGAAACTTTGCATAAACAGCTAAAAAAACGGTTACAAAGCTATCAGGAATATCAGGAAGGATGAAGAACTTTAGGACCCGGTCGAAAAGTGTTGAGGGGTAGTCGAGGACGTAGAATACTGCCCACTTATCAGATTTTTAAACATGATGATTTTTGCCTTGTCTTATTGCTTTCAAAAACCTACGGAATTTGCTCATTTGCATACGAGGGGTTGGGAGACTCATTTCAAGTTTTGGCGCTCTCGCCGTTGGTAGCTTTTGCTAATGTTATTGCTGGGAGGCATTGCGCTAATGCTAGGCAGATCAAATTCCCCATGCAAAAGCCGCATTCCAGCGCCTAACAATACGTCCCGCGAAGCGGGTTTTGGTTTTTTGCTATTGTCCAAGAGCTACTTTACTATAAAAACAAGAACCCTAAGTGAGGATGATTGTTGTTTTGGGTCTGATACACCCCCTTGTACAATTTGGGGAGCTATCGGAGGTAATGCCGAGGGGACGTTTGTTTTGGGACACCCTGTATACCGGTTCCCAAATGTGAAGGATCCCAAGCCATCGCATCAACCAAACTTTTCCAAGTCAACACAGGTGAAGGCTCGAATCGAACGATGGGACTTTGAACCAACATGAACTCTTTCTTGCATGCTTGGCACACCATCGGCCCGTAGTCCGCGTCCAGGTAGCCCTCCCGGCCGCACTCGCACACAGCGTACTGAAAACATCCGATCACCATTGCCTTGTTTGATGCTCGCGGACGGCGGTCGACAAGAAATTCAGGAACCACAAACCTCGCGAACGCGCCGCTTCGGGCCCCCTGCCTGAAACAGATACATAGCTTTTGGGGTGCGAGGGTTCCATCGCCTTCTCGTCCACTTTTGCACTGATTTTAAGACATCAGAAACTACTGTACGTTTTTCTTGGGCGGCCGGCCACGCCCCCGGCGTGGAACTGCTTGAGGTGTCGGTGCCTCGACCTCTCCCTAAAATAAACGTCCTTGACAAAAAAACCCCGTAGCTTAGGTTTAGCGGGAATTAACGGGAAATTTAACGGGTTTAAGTTTAACATCAAGCCATACAATTGCGCATGCATAGCGTGGGCCGGTATAAGTTCGCCCTAGTGGCTCCAGGAAAGCTTTACATCATATTTTTGGACGTTTGACAAAAATCTGTAAACTTTTTACGTTTAAGAATGTCACAGCTTAGAGAAATTTTCTTGATTTACGGGGTTCGACAAAACCGACGGCCCTCGCGCGCTGATTTTTGATTGGTTCATTTTTAACTATTCGAAGGCCCTCAAAACAGCGAGAAAAAGCTCCCTCATTTTACAAAAGTATTTAACTTGCGCTCCATTTTTTATGATTTCTTAAAAAAAAGCGTAAAAATAAGCGCCGTCATCTAACGCGAGCAAGCAATAACACAAACTTTCACACAGCCAGCCCTCGTATTTATCGTATGACCACTATCTTGCCAGAGTATTCGAATCTCGCCAAATAATTGCAATGTCTGCGACAACAGCCGGATCGATTCCATAGAAAGGTAAATTACTCGTTAGTCAGGCCCCGTACGAGGCACGGTGCCCCCCGAAATCGGTCGGGGTCCGAAAAGTTCATAAGGCCTTATGTTTCTTTTCGCAAAAATTGTTCTGCCTGCGGCGCTGTTTATCACTGTTTCGAAACGATTTTTACTTCTGGAAAACCTATTTTTCTAATGTTTTTTTTGCCTGCGGCGCTCGTTTTCATGAGTGCATCATTTTTGCTAAACAAAATTTCGCTTTAGCGCGATGTGTTTCCACACGAATTTAAGCGTTGCGAACGCGGTTTTCTCAATTTTTTTTGCCTACGGCGCTGTTATTGTCGCTATTTTCGAATATTTTGAAAGCCACGACCGGGGGCGGGGGGGGTCCCCAAAAATTTTTTGGCGGGGTGCCCCCCCGAAATCGCGGCTCCCGTACGGGCCTGGTCGTAGTGCGTTCGCAATATACGACGAGTGGGGGGCTTATCGGTGGGGAAGCCAAAATTTTACTAGGGATCAAATGTTCTAAGTACAGGGTGTCCCAAAAAAAATCCCCCTCCCCCGACCTAGAGGGCCGGAGACGTGTCCATTTCTGCGATTTTGGTATCTATCGAAAGCTCTCGACAAGGCGAGTCCAGCACGTTTTTCGAAGTTTTGAAATTCCGGATTTTTTCTTACTTTGACTAATATTTTTGCGAAAAGGGCTGCATTTCTGACGCTTTTCGGATAAAATGGTTTTTTACAAAAATCACAGTTAATGAATTTTAACGATTTTTCCGGAACCGCAAAGACAGCTTTTTGAAAACCATTTGAAAAAACACAGCTTGGATGGCGCTTAAACCGGTTAAATTGGGGTTTTGCTAAAAAAGCGTCTCCTTGTTGCCTAAAAAACTACCAAAAATTGGGCAAAAAATTTCGAATTTTAAAATTTCGAGAGGCGTGCTGAACTCGCCTTTCCGAGAGCTCTCGATAGATATCAAAATCATAAAAATCGGACACCTCTCCGGCCCGCTAGGTAGGGGGGATTTTTTTTGGGATAATCGACCAGAATCCCGTGGGCCGAGGAAGTGTCGGATTTGGACGATTTAGGTAAGTATTGAACGCTCCCGGGAAGGGGAGAAGGCGAAAAAACAAGCACAATGAAGCACAACGTTGCACTGGATTGAGACACTAATTACTCGATCATAATCTTGGCTGGTCCCTCTGCGTGTGGATCTGGGGGGTCGCCGGCTGTCACCTTCGAATCTCAATTTGAGGGCCTACCCTTGTATAAAACGCCCTGATTCTCCGATATTAGGGGGTAAGCGACCTTGCTCCTTCCGATGGAATTCCCAGGCTACAATTTTCCAAAGCTAAAGCCAGGGTTGTCATTTTCCAGTTCTGAGAGGGCTAATTTGCATAATCCCAAAAAATAAATTTCCTCATTCCTGCCAGTTGTACGCGCGTGTGTAGTCGGCACAGGAAGGCTTCCCACACTAGAATCACCATCTCCCAAATGCCCAAGCCAAGACTAGTCAAAAACCAGCTTTCCTACCATGCTCAACACAAGGTAAGTACTCGATCGAAATTTCACGATCTTGCTTTTGCCCTGTCGTCTCTTTTTGGGTGCTGTCATATTTTCAAGTTATGAATCAGGGCGTAAAAGCCCTTCGGAATGCATATTTATTAAAAAAAATATCCGAATGATCTGGAGACGGTAAGGCGACGCGAAAAGCATATCACAGGTTAATTTCGAGAGCGTGATGTTTAAACGATCAGCGGGCGGCGGCGCCCTGGACCTGAAAAGACTAAATACCGAAAAATCTTCCACAATGTGTGTATCTTTATGCATCGAATGGACATCTCTGCTAAGCGCAACCCGGGATAGCGACGGAATTGATACGATTTGGGGGGTATTCCGCACTTCCATCGCAGGGAAAATGACTGTGAGGTCTGTGTAGGTGGGCCAGAAAAGCCTCCCCCCCGCCTCCGGATATAGATTATCATCGCGACGCGGACTTGAGGGCCGTCCAAAGGAATTTTTAAAAGGCGCTGCATTATTTGGCCCGTGCGGGTTATCACCAGACTACATTTTTCGATAGGTCTCTTAAACCCACGAGCAGAGGGTCTTGCAGCATGTCCATACTGTCCTCAATTTCCAGAGCGGTATTGGCGGGGCTGCAGGCAGTGGCCGTAGTCAGGGACAGCGAGGAGACCTGAAAAATGGCATTTCTACCAGGCAGGCTGCAGCCGGCCCCAAATTGTAGGGGCAGTGAGTCCTCAAAAAAAGCTCAAAGCGTTCTATTTTGACGGTTTAGGTATCTATCGAAAGTTCTCGGCAAGGCGAGAAAAACAGCACTTTCTTCCTCCAATGTAACCATTTTAATTTACTTGTGAAGTGGATTTTGAAGTAAAAGTTTCCTTGCCTGGGCGGTCGAATTCGGGGGCTCATTCTCCTCGGGGGGCCCTTGCTGCGCCTTCTCGTTGTTGTGCACATCGTCGTCAAGTCCGCCCGATGGATCACTCGACGATTTGTTGATGTGGGTACCGGTGCTCGGGTTCTGAAATAGTTCATTCAACGCATTGTATTCTTAATTTACCGAGGCTGTCAATTTGGGAGGCTCGTGCAGCGCCTTCTCGTTGTTGTGCACATCGTCGTCAAGTCCGCCCGATGGATCACTCGACGATTTGTTGATGTGGGTACCGGTGCTCGGGTTCTGAAATAGTTCATTCAACGCATTGTATTCTTAATTTACCGAGGCTGTCAATTTGGGAGGCTCGTGCAGCGCCTTCTCGTTGTTGTGCACATCGTCGTCAAGTCCGCCCGATGGATCACTCGACGATTTGTTGATGTGGGTACCGGTGCTCGGGTTCTGAAATAGTTCATTCAATGCATTGTAAGCTTAATTTACCGGGGCTGTCAATTTGGGAGGCTCGTGCAGCGCCTTCTCGTTGTTGTGCACATCGTCGTCAAGTCCGCCCGATGGATCACTCGACGATTTGTTGATGTGGGTACCGGTGCTTGGGTTCTGAAATAGTTCATTCAATGCATTGTATTCTTAATTTACCGGGGCCGCCAATTTGGGAGGAATTTGCTGCGCCTTCTCGTTGTTGTGCACATCGTCGTCAAGTCCGCCCGATGGATCACTCGACGATTTGTTGATGTGGGTACCGGTGCTTGGGTTCTGAAATAGTTCATTCAATGCATTGTATTCTTAATTTACCGGGGCCGCCAATTTGGGAGGAATTTGCTGCGCCTTCTCGTTGTTGTGCACATCGTCGTCAAGTCCGCCCGATGGATCACTCGACGATTTGTTGATGTGGGTACCGGTGCTTGGGTTCTGAAATAGTTCATTCAATGCATTGTATTCTTAATTTACCGGGGCCGTCGGCGGGTCGGGAGGGCGGACCGCGGTATCGACGACGCCTTGGTCATCCGAAGAGGCTTCTGCCTGAAACAGCATGCCGATTTTGGTGGTGAAAAGTGATTAGCAGCTCCGGTTTAAGCCTTGTTTATGTGAATCAAACAATTTCAATGGTGGAAAAAATGCTCTCTCTCAGGTTTCGGGACATTTCCGGTCAAAATTCGGAAAAACTTAAAAACGCAATTTGTATGAAAAAACTTGCAAATGAATATTTTCAACCAAATATCAACTTTTCAAGCATTTTTCTACGCTTTAAAAAAGTTTGCTAGCCAATACAGCTAAATTTCACCAAAACACTATTAAAAACCGAATCAGGCAGAGCAATTCACACTTCCCCGATATTGCCAAGGCACCATTTTTAAAGCCTTAAAAATAACTTGATACCTTAGCCTTGAGAAAAGATGGGTATTTCCGCTTCGCGACTTTTCAACCCTGGCCCCGTCCAACCCATAATATTCTAAACTCTGCATACGTCTCTCAAATTCTCTGCAGTGAAAAAATGAAAAACACCCCTCTCTCGCAATATATATATAGGCTACCGCCACTTCCGGAGTATGCTAATTTTTCCTAACAAAGAGAGCGGCCGAATTTTCAACAAAAACTTAATTTTAATGTCGAAAATAGCATAATTTGCAACATTTGATATTTGAGCAGTTATCCCAGAGCCATTACGCACCTATTGACGTATCATATTTAGGCTACGACGTTCCCTTCTTGAGTTATCCTCTGGACAGAATGACGGAAGTTGCATGCAAAGTGGCACAGACACACACAAAAACACTATTTTTTTATATATAGTAGGATATATAGTAGGATGAGTCTCTCGCTGGCCTATATTCTAACCCGATCGGGTGTAAGGCGGTCAAATTGCGAGTAGGGGGCGGTGCTTGGGGCATTCCCCTGTGTTGCGAGTGTTTCTGGGCAACGGCTTTTGATCGCGACGGAATCCCACAGATACCCACCGGCTGATAGCGGCCAGGGTGAAAATATTGGGGCCAATCCGTCTGAAAAGCCGCAGTTTGACTACATGGCTAATGATTTCGTTACCTTCGCGGGCTTCGGCTCCGCCTTGTATTCAAACTGAAACAAACGGAGGTATGACAAAAAAAAAGTTAAAAGATCACCTTCGTCTTGAATTTCTTCTCGTACGTAGTGATTTCTCCGGCGGCCTAAGATACAGGAGTGCCCCAAAAATCACCCCCGCCCCTCTAGCGTGCCGCAGATGTGTCCGATTCATACGACTTAGGTATCTATCGAAAGCTCTTGCAATAGCAAGTCCAGCACGTCAATCCATTGGCAATGGCGGAATTTTTCACACGACTTTCGGCATTTTTGATGCAAAAGGGATACACTTTTGGCCAACCACCGAATTTAACGGGTTTAAAGCGCACGTTCAGGCACGTTGAACGTATACTTCCTATTGACACCTACGTCTCCCTCTTTTCCCAGTCCCTCGGCGTCAATAGGAAGTATACGTTCACCATAAATATACGTCCCTGAACGTGCGCTTTAAGCGCATCCAAGCTGTGTTTTTGCAAACGGCTTTCAAAATGCGCTCGTTGAACCGCCAGGAAAGGCGTACGGTGGTTTAAATTGTGATTTTTGACAAAAACGAAAAAAGCGAAAATCCGCCCGTTTCGCAAGCATTATTAAAGGTACACTAAAATCTCGTTCAAACATTTTCGCAGGGGTCGGGAATTCTGGTACTCTGCCGCGTCTCGCCCTGGCCCTTCATAGCCCCTCTCCCCTTCCCTTCTCCCGTCTCTCCCATGGCCTATTGGTCTGTGGCGCTTGGCCCAGGCGAGCGTCCCGGGTTCGGTTTTGCTCCGCGGCGAGCGCCTACCGTAACCCTGTTTGCTATCCCGCGGACGGTTACCGGCCGGTAACCAAACCAACGAGACTTTAGTGTACCTTTAAATGTCAAACTTTTTTTAAAATATGCGCGTGAACGTGCTGGACTTGTGTTTCCGAGAGCTTTCGATACCCAAATGGTCGGAATCGGACACGTCTTCAGCTGGTGAGGGAGGGTGGTGTTTTTTGGGACACTCGGTTTGCGAATCTTACATTAACTTAAGACCAAGAGCGGTGAGGAAGTCGGCTTTTTCCCGTGAGCGGATAACACATTATAGATATCCTTTGTGGTCCAGTTGCTTAGAGATCTGAGTGGTCACAAACCCCCTTCTTCGAAACAATTTCATGCTCTGAAGTTTTGCGAACCTTGCGCCTCGCCAAACATAGAGCCCCAATTTATTTGGCCATCAGTGGCCAAGTCATAGCATTTCATCTACGAAAATTAGAGGCAGGTAGAAGCCTTACAGCCTTTCGATGTTTAAGAAAAATTTTAGATTTGAAATCATTTGTTCTCCACTAATTTTCGCCGCACCCCCCACCCCTCCCGGCAAATAACGATTGACGCAAAAATAGAATTAAAGGCCACATCAGCTTCCTCGTCGTCGCAAGCTTCCCCAAATTGAGCGTCGATGTTCACGGAGTTTTTGACCTGGAAATATAAGAATTGGCCCAGCAAAACAAGTCCATGCCATCTGGACGTCGACATGGCCGCGCTCACCACAATTTTCAGTACAAATGTAAAAACTATGTGCAGCCGAATTTTTTAGGCAAAATATGTAAAACAAAAAAGTTATCGCTAAATAACTGATTTTTGGCGGGCCGCTGGTACTCATTTTTGGGTATGTTTTCGCAATTAGTCTCCCGATTTTTGAGTCATTTGCGAAAAATGATCATTTTTGGGTGGGTTTCTGCCACATAATAATCTCAAAAAACGACATCAAGCCCAGCTTTTTTTGCTTTTCGAACTAATGGCCAGGTTCGTTCAAAAACTTCAATATCACATAAAAACCGCGGGGGATATTCTTGTTACCTTCTGCTTGTAGTCCCTGAGCTCGGCCAAAATTGCCACCACCGCATCGATGGCGTCGTCGATCGTGGGCATGAACTCGTCGCACACCTCCAAAATGAGTTTCCGAGAAGCAGTTCGTGAGCGCCGAAGTTGTACCAATTTTCCTTGCGCAACCCCCGGCCCCTGGTCGACCCCGCCCTACCCGAGTTTTACGATGTATTAGCAGGCAACTATCAACTCAGTCTCAATCTTACTTTATACGGGTCGAAAAAGGGCAAGGGTTGCCCGTATGCCCCCATTTTGTAAAAATATCGAAAATGTAGAAAACTATCATAGCACCCTACGTTCCTTTGGCGAAACCTCGTCTAAATCTTGTCTTTGTTGTAACTATTTTAAATTACATGATTTTGGATGGCCATTCAGACTTTGAACAGATTGTACTAGGCTCGTCGGATAGCGCGTCAAAAATGTCGAAAAATTGCGTAAAAAATTTTTAAAACTAGCGTTTTGACCCCCTTCTTAAGGTTATTCGTGTTTTTGTTATAACTTTTGATCGCACAATATTTTCAGCGGTGCTTACGTGGGATATTTTCCCTATAATATGTTTTGCGGCGCTCTATCGATTGGCGTGCTAAAAAACCTTGAAGAAAAAAAAGCGAAAATATGATAAGTTTTATGAACAGTTAAGTTGAATATGAACCTTTTTCCAAGGGCTTAATTTGATGGCTTCAGCTCCTTCCAAACCATTTTTTCTCAATTCACGTTTAAAAACCTAGCGCACGAACCTCCTCCAGGGTTTTGGCCGGCTGCTCGCTCTCCGCCGCCCATCCGCGCTGCAACGCCTCTGCCACCTCCTGAATGAAGTCAGCTTTAATAAGTCGTGGCGTAACTTTTTTTGTGGAGCGCAATAAAAGGTTACGATATTTTTCTTTAATCAAATGTTTTTCTATGCGTCGAGAAATGCTTAGCCAGTAGGAGTATTTATTTTAACAGTGTTTTAGTAAAATTTAACTATAACTATTTTATGATTAGTATCATTATTATTTATTATTATTAGAAAATACAGTAATAAACTTGACAACTTTTGCGTTGAGGGGTAATAAAAACGCTTAAGAAATACTTTCTCTACTCAGAATTTGTACCTAAGGGGGTTGAGTTATTGGTTGGTTGAGTGGTTGCCGGTTTGCCACCCCCGCTCTCCCCATGACCTTGCCCATTCTCCGAAAGACGTTTACCTGCGTCAGCACCGGCATTCCGTCGTTGCCAGCACGGCAGCGGTTCTCGAAGATGTAGCCGGTATTTGCAGTGGCGATGAGCATTTCCGTCTGGAAGTCCAATTGTCTAATTTCCTAAAACCTGCTTGAATCCGGCTCAAGCCTTTTCTAACACCGGTTTTATTGGACCAAGTGAGCTTATCCCTTTATCCAGTCAATGCCAGTGTGACAATACAAAACTTCCTACGGCGGCGAGGTAAGCAAGAGTCTGGCCGGGAAAAAAACAGCCTTCGGGGTCGTTGGACCGAGCGGATATTAACGAGGCGGGAACTAATTTTTACGTTTCCGTTAATGGCTCAATACCGATGTAAGTACTAGGTCGAAACCTGGTTTAACCAATAATTTACATTCCCCTGCGAAAAAATGGACCAGCCCGCTAAAAAACGACCACCACAACACGGAGGCGCAGCTTACCAAACATTTCACTCTGATCTCTCTCTCCCACTCTGTCTCTCTCTCTCTCGCTCTCTTTGCCTATCTCTCTCGCTGCCTATTTCTCTCCCACTTTCTCTCTGTCACGCTATCTCCTTTATCTCTCTCGCTCTCTCTACCTATTTCGTTCTCTCTCTCCCTCTCTTTCTGTCTCTCGAAAATCACAATGTCGAAATTTCATAATGTCGACATTTTTTGCCTTGGATTTGGCGGGTTTTCGGGGGACGACATTATGAACTTCGACATTATCATTTTAGACATTTGAAAATCAGCCCTTACTTTCCAAGGATCTCTGGTTCTCTTTGTCCCGAAATTTGCGGTCTGAACTGCTCACCGGAGGCTCCTCCGCGATAGTTCGGCCGCATCCGAGGACTTCCAAAAGACGAGCGCAGCATCCGGATCCGTTCACAATCTCCGAGTCGTCCGGCATGGCAGGGGGGTCGAGGCCGTTGGCCAGACGCTTCTTCAAGCCAGCACGGTTGCTTTCAGCCTTGCATTGGCGACGCTGGCAGGCGCTCTGAAAAGCGCAACAGATGTTGGCACTCCAAGTGTTCTCACCAGGTACATACGCCAGCGTTTCTCGTAATGCTCGCGCTCTTGCTTCTTCCGGTAGGCAGCAGACTGAAATCTTTTTGAGTCTTAAATAGTTTCTTGAGCTCACCTTCTCGAGCAACGGGGCCAACCACAGCTTGATCACCGAGAACAGCTTCGCGAAGCTGACCTCATCGAGGTGCGCAACGAAGGAATCCGACTGCTAAAATCAGAACCTTAGTTATGGGACCCCAAGGCACTGTCTCGGTTCTTCAGGATTCGCGTGAGAACAAGTTTTCTTCGGCGCAAGCATACGTTTTTTTATAATCCTACCTACCCTACCCATCAGGCCACACGCACTAAAAAACTTACTCCTGCAACCACAAACATGGTGCCAGATGTGGAAGGTGTTGAGCGTACGAAGCGGCGAGGAGTACTGCCCTCACGGGTGTAAACCCACGCACTCAAAACGTGTTTTTTTTTGCCCCAGCCACCATTTCAAAACTGCATGCTAATCGCGCTGATATCATTATTCTAGGCGAGTATGCAGATATATAGGGTGTTCCAAAGAAATCACGTCCGGTTTTTACGATTCAGGTATCTATCGAAAACTCTCGAAGAGGCGAGTCCCGCACTTTGCTTTTACTTTGAAAATTTGTAAAATCTAAATTTGTAAAATTTTCTGTGCTAATGCAGTTGGGGGGGGGCATTCCGAAATTGCTTGTAAAGGGTTACGAGACGCTCCGCTTACTAGAGAATGTTTTCGGGCGGACATCAGACCCAGATATGTGAGTATGTGCATCTTGTAGACTTTTAGCTGCTGATACCTTATTTTAAAGTTTGGATTTGGCGATACCTTCATAGGCCCTCCCCACGCCCCGACCGTCGTCTCCTGGTAGCCCAGTGGCTTAGTAGTCGGCGTTTGGAGATAGCAACGAGGGTACGGATCCGCTCACGATTTTTGCTTTTTGCTTTTTGGCCGAAAACTTATTTTTTGCACCCCCGAAGGTCTACAATAACTTTTTAAAAAATTTTTGACCTCTAGGACGTTCTCCAGATACATATTCCCAATTGAACAAGCATAAAGGGAACACAGAGATTTTTGAGCTGAAATCATCAACATTGGCTGTGCTTGCAAATAAAAAAAAACCCACTAAATACCGTCACCAATTTTGGTAGGAGTCCTGGAAATACAAAAAAAAACTTTAAAAAAAGTTATTGTAACCCTTCGGGGTGCAAACAACGTGTTGATAAAAACATTGGAATCTTTTATTCTTCCACAAATGGAAATGATGGAAATGGCCAAGTAATAGGGAAAGGGTCACAATCATACGGGGGGCAATCGGGGAGGATGAGATGCGCTGGAACGACCGGATTCGACTAGTTCGTGATCAATAATTTTTTCAATGAAAAAAGGGTGGACGGGAACCAGTTTTGTGCCATAGAAGCCTGTAGGAAGCAGCGTTTTTATAAATGTCGTTAAGAATTAGGGGGGCGTGAAGGGGCCAAAATTGCCCAAATTCGAGAAATCAAACAAGTTGCCGGGATCTTAGATCATTTTTACTATAGTTTGGGCTGGACCACATTTTTGCCACTAGCCCCGCGGGGCACGTTTTTGTAGGTATCATTTCCGGTGTAGCCGTGGTGCCGCCGTTAGCCAAATCGGAACATTGGCAGATCGGACGGGTTCTGGATGGTTCGCATCGGCATGTCGCTGCGTGACGCCCGATGCATCAGGGTTCGGCGTGCGCGGACGGCCGGCTGTGATTCCCGGGACTCCAACTCGCGCTCGGCGTCTGCAATGAGGCTTGGTTTGATATATATTTTTATTTTCTCCGTATATATCATTTTCGTTTTATGGTATGGATCCTGATCCTGGCAGTTTGCCGATTTCATTGGGATTTTGGCGGATTTCGCGCTCGAAATGTTTCGAAACAAGACCTCACTATTACCGATTTCGGAAATTTTTGAATTTAAGAAAAAGCAATTCAGATCGATACTTTTCATCAATTTTTGATCAGCAAAACCGTCGGAAACTGGCCCGAAAATGATGACTTTTTGGCAAATTAGGCAAAAACGGCGGCATGCTAATTGTGGAAACCTGCCGAAAACGCGTATACTTTGGCATAACAACATTTCCCAAGAAAAGCTACTTTTGCTTTGGAAATACGGTTCCACATCCCTTGGTTTAATCTAATTAGTAATTAGTTTTTTGGCTGTAATCCCGGGCTAGGGTCCAAAAGTCAAACTCAAGTCAGAGTTGCTCCAAACGAACGGGCCGGGTGTTAATTTACATGTTAAACTTTTGAATATTCTGCATTTTTGAAAGCTGTGCATCTTGGGTCGGTTACTTCTCGGGTTCCAGGGTCAAAGTACCAAAGTTTTGTCGCAAAATGGAAATGCATACAACTTTTGCTGATGTTTTATCACACCTTTTTGACAATTCCGAGTCCAAATTTAATCTACTTGATTACGTAAGCCCTCCACCCGGTTCCGAATGACGCCCTCCACCGACCACTTCAATCGGAACACCGGCAACTACGAGCCCCGCCTATTTACAGCCCTCCATTCAGCCCTTCGGGCGTCTATTATTGGGCCCGATTCTGGGAGGCAACGCATTATCCGGCGGCTATACTATTAAAAATAGACAAAGTACCGAAAATAGGGGCGGGTGGGGGAGCGTCGAGGAAGTTGGGGGACGGCGGTATAAATTTGAATGTTGATGGGGTGTAGGTGGGGGCGAAAGGGGGGGCGGGGTTGGTGAGCTTGGAGTAAAGCCGAACCTGGGAGTGTTTTTTTAACGAAGCCGGTTGCGAAAATAGATGGTTTCTGGGCCAAAAGACGCGGATTTATACACGTTTCTCAGCATTTTTCGACTAAGGTGAAGGCACCGAGGACGCCGGCGGCTTTTTGTAGCACTAAAAGTTCCTCAAAAACCGCTGCTAACCTGCCCATTTTAATTCGGATAAAACAGTACGGCTCACTATGCAGCGTTCGCTTTGTGCTCAAAATTACAAAATTTATTACGGCAAAAGTGCCTCTGACTTCCCAAAAAAATCTTTGATAGCTGCCTGCAGAATGCGAAATTTCCTAAAAAAAGGTTGCCAGTTTGCCCTGGAACTTGGCTCAAGGAATCTCGGCTAGGTTGCCTACTGAGATGTATCGCTAACGTCCTGTTTCCTCAATTTCCCAAATAATCTATGCTGGCCTGCCTCAATAAACCCAAAAAAATACAGTAAGACGCGCGCTGCAACCGTATTACGCACGCTACTTTACTCCAGTTGCCTTACTAATCTTTGATAGCTTTCCCCAATGGCTGCGAGAAATCTCGTATGTATCACCTTGAAACATTAACAGCCAGATACAGCACCACAAAACACCCCCCAAATAATCTCTGCTAGCTAGCCCTCAAAAGATACAGTAAGACTCACTCTGCAACAATATCCTCCAGTAGTCGTCATTCTGGAGGGCGGCTGCCGAGAAGGCGGCCAGATAGAGGAGCACGAGCACCCAGCGCCACACTGAACTTCCCGCCAACGAGGCCATTGTAGTAGTTGTTCTGTAGTTGTGAGGAAGGGAGTGGAACCACCGGGGGCTACGAGACAAAGGGGCACCCTGGAAATGAGGAGGTTTTTGATGGTGTTATGAAAGTGTAGGGAGGACATGCCAGAATTTTAAAAAGCAAAAAATTCGAAAAGCTGGCATGGTTAAAGGCAAATCGAGACAGGACTTGCTACAGCTTTCGGGCTATCGAGTCAATGCGGGTTCTGCCGGTGCCGCGACACGCAACGCGCAGGAATTGCCCAGGCTAACTTAAGCGTGTCGCAACTTGTTACGCTATCGCAGCGCGGCTGCGTCTCTCTTTCTCTCTTCTTTTTCTCCCTCTCTTTCTCTGGCTCTCTCTCTCTCCAAGGCTCTCTCTGGCTCTCTCGCTCGCTCTCCCGCTCGCTCTCTCTCTCATTCGCTCGCTCCTTCGCGCTCTCTCTCTTCCGTTTCAAATTTTCAAAATTCGATTTGTCTCAGGAACTACCGTAAGCGAGTAAACCCTAAAAAATACGGTATTCTGCCCGGAAATTTATTAAAAAAAGCAAAAATCAGCTTTTAGGGAAGGTACGGTATCCTGAAAAATGCCGGCAAGCTCCGAAAAATGTCTTGCACTACAACAACATTACTAACACTCAAAAATCGGGTGTGTGCAAAAGCCTAGACTAACCTGAAGGAACTTAAAAAAATTCCGTAAAATTACGATACTACACCCAGTATCATTAAACGCCTAACTAAAGGCATTGATGACCGTCATTTGACGGCTTCGACCCCGTGGGTCCCGCCACGAAAACAAGGCTAGATGCCCTTGCTGGCGTATTCCGACTATTCCCTGGGCATTTCCTGCTTCGGCTTCTCCTTCACGGGGAGGGGGGGAGGCGAGAAGTCGGCCAGATTTTAATGGAATATTCGATCAGGTGCGTGGATTCCTATAGTCGGGGTGGCTCTTTGTAAATGGGTTCACGGCAGATCTATTTTGATCTTTGCGAGGGGACGGGCTGGACTAGCGGGTTCTGGGAGGTTTTTAATAAATCTAAGGGTAGGCGGGGAGGTGCGGGTTTGAACTTTGTGAATGGTCAAAAGCGGGACGCGGCTTGGGGTTTTAAGGGAATTTCTAAAAAAGCTTACGAGACTTAATTCATAGTTTACAAGATACAAGAAATAAGAAATATCGTATTTGTCTCATGCTCTACAAGTAAAAACGTTAAAGACCGGATGCGCTGTCAGAGTACAGCGCCGTTAGCGCTTCAACGGTACCGATAAGCCCCGGCTATGATCATTTTATTTGGTCTTCTTTATGAGTCTTTTGGAGCCGCGGCACGCAACGCAACCGCAACGCGGCCAATTCGTAAGATTGTTAAACTTCCACTTCTTACCGTTCTGCTAACTGTAAGCTTATCGTTTTCAAAAAAAAATAGCATAGGGCCTAGCTAAACACAACCAGGGGCGTAGCCAGAAAAAAATTTCGGGGGGGCCCCGAAAAATTTTTTCCGAAAAACTCAAAAAATTCAGAAGAAAACAGCGCCGTAGGCGAAAAATTTTGGAAAAAAGCTACATAGCTCTACAAATAGCAGTAAAAACGTGTAAAAATAGCGCCGCAGGCAGCAAAATTTTTGAGAAAATAAAAATCATAAGGGTCCCCCCTTATGAAATTTTCGGGCCCCGGCCGATTTCGGGGCCCGGGCCCCCGGGGCCGGTATTACGCTACGTCCCTGAACACAACTGACGTCAAACCATCACTCCAAAATCCTAGAAATGTGCAAATATCGCACGGCGATCGGCTAGACCGTAATTTATACGGACCCCCGCCCCCGTTAGAAGGTTGAATAGCTGGGGCGCTTCTCCTGAATTCAGTGGCCCCCATCGAATTGCAGGTGAAAAATTGGGGGTGGGGCGGCCAGAGGAGCAGCAGGTGGGTGGGCGGTATGCGTAGTGGAGCGATTTTTGAAGATTCATTCGCAAAAAATCATTACGGTAGCACTAGCAGAACTGTGAGTGATCAGAGTGGTCACAAGGGATTGTCGGGTTTTCTGACGAAAAACGGTGAGGGAGAGAGACAGAATAGAGAGAGAGCGAGCGTGAGAGGAGAAAGCCGGGACAGAATGTTTGAGAGAGAGCGAGCGAAAAAGAGAGAGAGAGAGAGAGAGAGAGAGAGAGAGAGCAAGAGAGAGAGAGGCAGACCGACAAGCTAATGATTCGAAATAATATATACAAAAATCTGGAGCCTGGAAAAGACCAAAAATATTTTTCTCGCAACCCAAAACCCCATGGAAATGACCCTTTGCAATTAGACCTATTTTGTGGGGGTGGCGTGGCGGTCCATTGTTGTCGAGAATAATATCCTGGAAGGGGACAAAAATTACTCGAGGATGAAACGGAGTCCCAAAATTTATATAGTGAATCGCGGTGTAGTCTGTGATTTTCTGCATACCCTTGCAAGGTCGTAGATCAAGAATTTTTGCAGGGCCTCAATCAAATTATGATTAGTGTAGCGATGTAAAGATAATGGCTTCAAAAAAAAAGGCGTCGAGATCATCCAAACACGTCAGTTTAAGCCTAGCGAAAGCCAAGCCTCAGCCAAGCCTAAGCGAAGCCTAGTCAAAACCCCAGCAAAGCCTAAGCCAAGCCTAATCGAAACCTAAGCGAAGACCAAGCAAAGCCGAATCGGAGCTTAAGTCAAACCTAAGCCAAGCCTAAGCGAAATTTAAGCCATGCCTAAGGTCGATTTCAAGGGCCTAAGGTTGATTTTGAGGGGTCCTAGTGCCTTAAAAATTTTTTGACAGAGTCAAAGCCGCAAGAAATCTGTACACCTAGTATCCAACACCAAGCCCAAAAACATCTACTCTGTTTACCCCAAAACCAAAGATGACCGCCACCACGGCCACGTAGATGCATAATACGGATGGATGATGACCCCCCAGGCATTGAATGGGCTGATGACTTTGCGTTTCTGGGGAATATTCAGAATACATAGATTCGAGCGAGGTGACGCCTCCCGTCCCAATCATTTATGCGTGATATCACACATTCGGGCGGATCCACAAGTCCGCCCGGCAGCACCACGCAGTCCACACCACACCACACCCCCAATTCATGGCCTGGGATGGCAAAAGTGGGAATTCGGAATTGAGGATCAAAAATGGCGGCTTAATTATCAACGAGGATCATCGTTTATCCGAGCCTAAGCCTCAGCAAGTTTCCATAAATCGATCTAAAGGTATCTTAGAGCTTATTGTTAGTGCCAGGTATCAAAAAATCATCGTAAAAGTACCTTCTCAAATATTCAAAATGTATCCTAATGTAGTCTTAATCTCAATCTCAAGGGAATAGCAAGCAAGAACACTCAAGACTCGCTCGCTGTTAGCCCCAGAAATGGCCTGAATAGCAAAAATCCAAGCTCCAAAAAAAACCGGACACGCGTGACGCCAATTCGTCCTCTTCAGGAACCCCATAATTCAGATTGCGCGAATTCGAATTAAGCACAGAATTTGTGAGAGAGACGCTGGATTATGGGCCCTTGTGATGAGGAAATCGCCCGGAAATGATGTCGCATGGCACTCTAGACGACGATTTTATGGCATCCGAGGCTTTTTTTGCTGCGGAAAAGGATGTGCGGAGGTGGATTTGGATGGGCAGGGGGATTTATGGCCCTCGGTGATGAGCAGCGAACGGATTTGTCTGGTAGAGTACGGTGCGGGATGCAAATCTACGTGATAGACGTTTCTAGGGCCAATGACGGATGGAGAGCTTCTAAAAATGGAGTTTGGGTCAATTTTGGAGGGTCTAGATGTAATCCGGATCGGAAAGAATTTAACGAATTGGGAGCACGGAAGATTTCTTGGATGCGATGGACAGTAATTCCCTAAGAGTCACTGCTAGTTGGCATGTAGTTGTTACTTATCTTAAAGAGTGAGAGAGAGGAAGAGAGAGCGAAGCGAGAGTAAGAGAGCGAGAGAAGAGAGAGAGAGAGAGAGAGAGAGAGAGAGAGAGAGGGAGGGGAGCGAGAGAGTGATAAGGATATGGAGAGCGAGCGCGCGCGCAAGGCTGAGAGCGAGGGAGAGAGATCGTTTGCCCATGTCTTAAAAATTTGCCCCGAAATATGTTAAATAGCATATTAAGCCATGCTAAATTTCAATAAAATAGTTAAACAACGGTTGAGAAAACCCAAAAAAAATGAGGAACGTCCCATCATCGTCCCGTGCTCTGGTTCCCCCGAAATTGGCGCGGGGCCACCAAGAATTCGCCTGGAATCGGGTCAACAAACCGGCCTCTCCAAAATGACTTTTCACCCCGCGATTCCCCCAAATGCGGGTCCTTCTAATGAAAAAAAGAAGAAGTGTTTGCCGGTGTTGGGTTTTGGGCCCAGACGTTTTCAAAGAGACAAGGGGCACCCAGGGGGAGGTGATATGCTTCAAAAGGGGTCGGGGATTCTATGAGATCCGCGTAAGAATACGTTTTTTTACTCTCTACGTGCGTGTGTACCTCTAGTACGAAACTGTACGACTTCATAGACGATACTTGTTGTTTACAGACGATAATGGTGCTAGGAACAATTCGCAAAAAAGACACCCAGCACAACTTTTTTCAGCCTTTCAGCACCGCTCGTCCTTATGCTTCGGCTGTAAAGTTTAGCAAGAAATTCGCCTTGTTTAGTAGGGTGAGAGCATGCTCATTGCGAGTTAACAACAAGCGGAAGGTCAATAATTTCGAGGTGCAAAAGTCCGAAATTCGGCCAACGGGGTGACGGCACCACAGCCCAAAGCTTCCGATTTAACCTCACTAACTACGTATCTCTCGGAACACCTGCTCTAGGGTTAAAAATCAACGTTTCTCACTGATGACGACGAATTTCCTGTCTGCTGATGTCGAGAAAAGCAGGTGGAAGCAGATTTAGCCGTAGGGATGAATCAGCAGGATTCACCCCTACGGCAAGGAATACACTGTTATCGCAGATTTACACCCTACTACTGTATTCTACGAATAGGCCGAATACCCACACCTTA